ATTGTAAAAGCAGTTTCAAAGATTACAGCACAGTGTGATGTTTTGCTATTTTAACATGAACCTTGTGCATATCTGCAAATAATAAAAGTGAAGATATTTTTAATACATCTTTATTGTAAAAATCTATACTAAAATGAAAAACACATGGGTTTAAAGCAGCAGGGAAGGCAGTAAGGTAGGATTATGAATCAGGTTTATAAGTTACAGCTCATGAGGTACTCCATTAGAGCATGACATCTCTTCCACAACATCGTGTGACAAAACCTTCAGGGTGTTCTTCTTCTAATACGTTTAGTGGTGGCTAGTAAGTAGCTTAAGGGAGCACTACCGCCACCAGGTGGTAAGACGAGTTGGATTCTAGTCCCCGCCTACAGAGCTGGTCCAGAAATGTACATGGAAACACAACAGACCCGAACCGATCTGAACCAACCCGAACTGATCTGATCCGCTCTGTGACAGTGGAAAAGGGGCACAAGGTGTCACGTGGTTTCAGCACGCAGGCAGGTAAAACACCAGACATATGACAAACAGACTACGTGTTTGCATCCAGAGCTGTATAGAGCTGCCATACCTAATCTATGTCTAATGTATGTCTATGGTGCTGGTGACGCCCACAGACGGGATTCACGTGTGCAGTGTGTGTGTTGTCGAAAGGCTTCGACAACACACAAGCAGAAAGTTGTTCCATGTTTTTCTGCAAGAAGAGAGATGGACAGCAGCCTCCCCTCCTCATCTCAGCGTTAGTCTCTGTGTGTGTGTTAAACGGACTCAATCAACATTCCACGGCCGGACTCGTCTTCATCAAAGAACTCCCAAGGACGGCTCTGTGTCTGTGTTTCAGCTGGTGAGTTTATGTTTGTTAACATTACTGCAGCTTAATACGTACATCGCAGTGAATTAAACTAGAATCCATGTAATGCTAACTTTAAGATATTAGTGTGTAAATTTATTTTATCTACGTAGCTAGCTAAACTCATAAGCTAACTAAAGATTGACAGTAACAAATGAAGTTTAGCTTGTAAAAATGTGCTCATCCATCCAGTCAGCTGCTTAAACAGTTCACTAATGTTCACTGTTTATGTTAATGTTCTCCTCGCAGGAGCCTCTAACCCAGATGTGAGGACAGAGACGGACAAAAGAAAAGCGAGGTGGGGACCACAGGACAATCACAAACTTTGTTGTTAAAAGATTGCTGCCTTTTTCTACAGTGGAGCTGTATGGTGGAGGTAAGTTAAACTGTAAAGGATTTTGTTGACGAGTCACCAGTTGAGCTTTTATCTCTCAGCCTAGATAATGGTTTTTTTTTAGCAATAACACAACCATGTTATTGTTGATGTTTTGTGTTCTAATGTCAATTAGGGAGATGATAAGAGCCCTAAACCCCAGAGAACCACAGAGGTGCAGATATCTGCCATCGACCCTAACCTCAGTGAATCCAGTGACCTGCTGGTGGAATGTGAGGGACAATATGTCAGTGCTATCAAACTGACAACCAGGTATCTGTGTGTGCAACAAGCATCATCTACAGCCTCAGAGGGAACACTTCCTACTGCTGGAGACACCATCAGCCAGGAGCTGGCTTATTTGTGTCCAGAGAAAGCAGACATGTTGATGTTTCTGAAGAAAAACTGTTCAGTGAAAAGGTCCTTAGTGTGTAGCAGTGAACATTAGACACCAACGTGTCACTGGTTTGCAACTGTTCTTTTGAACTGGAAATTATTTGTTTATTTTTATGTAAGAAAACTGCTTGGAATAGAAATACCAAAGTTAAAAAATAAAATTCACAATATGTACTGTAATGTGTAACGTAATTTTATTCTTGTTAGAATTAATATTAATTACAAAATTGGTACCGAAAAAAGAAGCGTCCAGGAACCGACACCGAAGTAAAGGTACCGACACAGATTTTTTTAGAAAGGTACCCAGCCCTACTCGGATGAGAAGTGAAACGTCTTCTGTTACAAATAAAGTACAGTTGTTTTTATCTTAGATCTTTATCCTGTTCATATCTTAGATCTTATTATTGTCCTTTTTTTTACATTTTATTGTTGGATGTAACTGGGCCCTGTGTACATAATTTCATTCCACCACATGAACCACACGTGGTGCAAACGACAATAAAGAAACTGACTTTTGTCTTGAACTTTTTTGAATTCTCCATTCCTCAGGCATTTTCTCACGCTCAAATATGCCATTTAATATTCAAGTCAAAAACCTCACTGCTATATCTCCAAGACATTTCCAAACCTCCACTGGTATGTCATCAGGTCCTACTGCCTTCCCTTTCGTCATTCTTTTCAGAGCTTTCTGGAATTCACCCTCACTAACCTTTCCCACTTCCTGGTCCACAGTTTCTATGACCTCTACTCTTCTTTCCCTTCATTCATTAGATCCTCAAAGTACTCCTTCCATCTTCTCATCACATTCTCCTCACTTGTTAGAACATTACCATTCCCATCTTTAACAAGCGTAACCTGCTGCACATACTTTCCAGCCTGATCCCTCTGTCTCACCAATCGGTATAAGTCCTTCTTGCCATCTTTAGTGTCCAGCCTCCCATAGAAATCATATGCCTTCTGCTTTGCCTTTGGTACCTCACTCTTTGCTCTATGTTGCATGTCCATATATTGCTGTCTCCTCTTCAGTCAAATTTCTTCTCAGCTAACCTCTTTCTTTGTATAGCTTCCTGCACTTCACTATTCCTCCACCATTTTTTCTATCTATTCTCTGTCCTGATGACACACCAAGTACCTTCCTACCAGTCTCTTTAATTACAGTTGCTGTAGGAGCCCAGTCATTTGGAAGCTTTTTCTTACCACTCAGAGCCTTTAATAGCTCCTGTCTGAATTTCTCCCTCTTTTGGAAATAGGTGTTGGCTACAGCAAATTCCATTCTCTTGGTAAAATCCACCACCATCTGTCCTTCCTGGATTCTTTCCTTGACACCAAACCTACCCATCACTTCCTCATCCCCTCCGTTTCCTTCACCAACATGTCCATCCAGGTCTGCTCCAATCACCAATCTCTCCTCCCTGGGAATAATCTCTATCACTTCATCCAGATTCTTCCTAAAAGTATCTTTCTCCTCCATATCACATCCAACCTGTGGAGCATAACCACTGACAACATTCAGCATCAGACCTTCTACTTCTACCTTCAGACACATCACCCTATGTGACACCATTTTCACCTCTACTACATTCTTTGCCAACTCCTCCTTTAGGACCACCCCTACTCCATTTCACTTTCTATCCACACCATGGTAAAACTTTTTAAACCCTGCTCCAATGCTGAGAGCCTTGCAACCCTTCCACTTGGTCTATTGGACAAATAAAACATCTACTTTCTTTCTCTGCATCATGTCAGCCAGCTCTCTACCTTTGCCTGTCATTGTCCCCACATTTAGAGTTGCCACCCTCGGTCCTACATTCTTGAATAAGTTCGTCACCTAAACTGAGCTGAATGGGGTGGATACCAACAGTTAATTGGTGCTGTATCATGCCACTGAATGTCCCTCATCATGTCAGAATCAGAATCAGCTTTATTGTCATTGGACCGAAGCACAACAAAATTACATTTCAGTACAGCCCGTCAGAGAAAACAAACAAACAGACATGAGGAGACAAAGGTGTCTGAGGCTGCGGCCTTCAGGAGGCGCTGCCCTTTTCGTTTAGATAAGAAAAAGAGAAACACGAGGGGAAGGGCGGTATAAAAAAATCATATCTCGCACTGTGTCCTAAAGATGGGACACTGTGAGAGTTGCAAAAGAAGACCTCAGCACAGAAACAGCAACATACTGATGACATCATAATACATTTATTCATGAGTGGATGGGGTCCCAGCGCAGGCCGCCCAGTGAGCGGCACAGCCATTGGCGCCTTTGCATCTCCTAGGTTGCTGCACCGGGGGAGGGGGATGAGGGAGGCCAGCGAAGGCGTGAATTCGTCACTGAATGACCCCCCCAGCAAAACTGCAAACTACATCTGAACCGCCACTTCTTCTCCGATCGTGTTGACGATTGCACCACAAAAAATGAACGCATTTACTGAAAGATATCGAAGATATTTTGGGGCCCGAGATGGGGTAAAGGCAGGGGAGCTGACTCGGGACCTGAAGGCCCCAGGTTCAATCCCCAGCCATTCCCACATGCCATGGCGTCTCTGAGCAACTATGCTCACCAGGCTCTTACATGGCTGCCCACTGCTCCACCTGGGTGTAACCCTCCCAGGTGCGATGGGTTAAATGCAGAGAACCAATTTCGCCATTGTCCCACACACAGCAGGGAAACAGGTCACATTGACAAATCAGCTACACTTGAGAAGAACTGATAAGAGAGCCGAGTGGAGTCACACTTATCAATGGCAAAGCGGTATAGCATTTAACAATAGTGTGCAACCAAAACAGACGGAATTAGCAGAACACAAAAGGAAATACAATTAAAAACAAACACACAAGGACTATGTGACAAAACAGACGAAGCTCCCCAGTATTATGAAGTCGCCTTGACTAAAACAGGCAGACTGATTTGGGCATTAAGAGCTTCCGTAGAGTTGATCAAATCACAAATCTACAGCCTGCTCGCCGCATCAAGTGTATCGATCAGCACTCGGTCTTGGTGTCGCTTTATGCGACAGCTGGCAGTAGACACAATGCAGACGGTTTATGCCACACACGAGCGCGCGCACGCGTCAGCGGCCACGTTTCTGCGTCGGAAACAAAAATCTGGGCGGATGTAGACAACACATGCAATAAAGGGTTTACGGCTAAATGTCCAAACAGATAAAAGCAGACAGGAACAAACGCTATTCATGTTGCGTTTACGTGCTGTGAATTAAAACAGCTCAACCATAAAGGTTCAACAATTTGCTTACAGGTTTAGTCTGAGTCATGCTGCACAGCCTGCTGACATCTCATGCAGACGTTCAGCAGCAGTTTATAAAGACAGCTCTTCTGTATGCGATGTTGTCTGTGCTAGTAAAAATGAGCTTTTAGTTTAATTACCCCTTCGATCTTTTCATCATGGCTCCAGGAACAAAACTCGTTTTGTAGCTCGGCAACACGGTCCAGTAGTAGTTTTGGTCAGACATGTTGACAGTGACCGACAAAGCCAATCCAGGTATCGATAATCAGTCCTCTTAATGCGGAGGCATCATGTTTAGTCTCCTCTGAGTGGGTTTGTTTTTATTGGTGGACAGGCCAGACTACGCCGAGTCTAACGACGAAAACTCCATTCAGCTTCGGGATAAACTGACCCCAAACCCGCAGCAGGGTGGCCCAGTGGTACCGAGCGGCTGTAAACGGTCATGTCCTATCTGCACCGCTTTCTTATTATCAGCTGAAAATCCGCAATACCCCGTCTTCCGAGAAAAGAACCATCCTTCACCAGTACCTTCGTCGAGTCACAAAGAGATACAAACTTTCCAGGCTACGCTAGTCGCTGCACTGCGCAGCCGCAGAGCACGCGAAACGGAGCGACTAATGCTGCTTTCAGGTACTGTTGGAATATTGCAATAGCTACGTTTCCCACAAAACGTAAACGGAAAAATAGCGCTGCGGACTTGTGTTAAAAGTGACATCATCCGTCTAATTATACGTTTTTAGCTAATAAAATGTGTACAAACGTAAAACGTACACAACAAGTTAGATCCAGTCAGTATGATATATGTTTATAGAAACTCCGGGAGCGTTGAAAGCAGCATCTTAATGTGTCTAAAACTGAAAATGTCATAACTGGCTCTGCAAATAATGGTCCATTGATATCCTGATGCATGTCCATTGAGTTCAATTGTGTTTTTCTTACTAATTTAAATATTAAAAAGTTAATGTACAGATCCTCAGAAAATGACTATATATTAACTTAAGGCAACAGATACCAAGTGGTATATTATAACACTGTGATCTACTATAAACTTTGAAATACAAGATGTAAAAATTACAGCAGAGTCTTGAAATAAATATTTTAAAGGTTCTAAGAAAACTACAAATAGTAATGGTTTTTGGCAGACAAATGCACTGCATCTAAACTCCAACAACAAAAAACACATAAACCTCATATGTGACGTATCTGTATAAATAAATGTGTTCTGAGCTGCCAACTAAAGGGATGAGTACAGACGCCAGATATTTGGAAACATTGTAAGTGACAGAGTTAATCATACTAACAATTGGTCTTAAAGGTACACCTTTACACCTGAAGGCTATTGACCGTTTTCTGTACCACAGACTGTACCCAGGGGAGGCCACACCTAGTCTGTATGGTTTACCTAAAATCCACAAACAAGGTGTACCTTTAAGACCTATTGTTAGCATGATTAACTCTGTCACTTACAATGTTTCCAAATATCTGGCGTCTGTACTCATCCCTTTAGTTGGCAGCTCAGAACACCACATACAGAACACCATGGACTTTGTGGATAAGTGAGGGATGTCATCATGGAGACTGATGAAACAATGGTCTCTTTTGATGTCACATCACTCTTTACGTGCATTCCTGTTGATGATGCAGTAGAGGTGGTCAGTTTAAAATTAAAATCAGACACCACTCTGAGCAGCAGGACCACGCTTTCCACAGAACAACTGTGTCAACTCTTGAAACTGTGCCTGCAGTCAACCTACTTCACATATGGGGAGCAATATTATAGGCAGAAACATGGGTGTGCTATGGGGTCTCCAGTTTCTCCTATTGTTGCCAACCTGTACATGGAGGAGGTAGAAAAGAGAGCCTTGACGTCCTTTTCAGGGACACCACCAAGTCATTGGTTCAGGTATGTTGACGACACCTGGGTTAAAATCAAATCTCAGAAAGTCCAACATTTTACTGACCACATCAACTCTGTGGATAAATGCATCAAGTTCACACAAGAAGATGTAAAAAATGGCAGGTTGGCTTTCTTGGACTGTGAGGTCTCAGTCTCTGATAGAGGACATTTGCAAACTGAGGTGTACCGCAAACCCACACACACAGACCAGTATTTGCAGTTTGACTCCCATCACCCTTTGGAGCACAAGTTAGGAGTCATCAGGACTCTGTATCACAGAGCAGACAACGTCCCCACTAACTCGGGAGCCAGGCAGAAGGAGAAATCCCACACAAGACAGGCTCTAGAGCAATGTGGATATCCTAACTGGGCCTTCTTGAAAGCAGAGAAGAAACCCAAACAGGACTCCAGTCAGCCATCAGGTGAAAAGGATGAACCCAGACCCAGACCAGTGGTCATTCCATATGTTGAGGGAGTATCAGACTGAGACGTTTATTTTCTAAACATAACGTCCCAGTGGCTTTTAAACCCCAAAATACATTACGGCAAAGACTGGTTCATCCCAAAGATCCCGTCCCCCGGCACAAACAGAGTAATGTTGTGTATGCTGTTCAGTGTCAGGAGGGCTGTGATCAGTCTTACATCGGGGAAACAAAACAGCCACTGGCCAAAAGGATGGCCCAGCACAGAAGATCAACATCATCAGGCCAGGACTCTGCGGTCTACACTCATCTCCAGGCCAGCGGTCACTCTTTCAGGGATGAAGATGTGCACATCCTGGACAGAGAGGAACGATGGTTTGAGAGAGGAGTAAAGGAGGCCATCTTTGTGAAAAGAAATCGTCCATCATTAAACAGGGGTGGGGTCCGGGAGAAGGGCAGGCCGTCGGGTGTTGACCAGGACTATGTGGGGGTTCAGGGTCTAGGGGGTTGCCGTGGGCGGTGCTGACGCTGTGCTCTCTCTGGGGTTGTTTGGACCCCCTGAGCTTGGCTCTTGGGTGCCATGGTTGGCCCGCTGGCTGGGGTGGCTGCCGGGGCCTGGCGGGCGATCGGCTGGGGCGCGTGCTTGGTTGTTGGCGGTGTGTGGGGGTGGTCGGTGGCGTGTCCTCTTCATGGTGGGGGGGGTATCCTGTCGGCGGGGCATGGCCTGGGCCGGGTCTGGGGTATTGGCTCTTCTCCGCTCGAGAATGAATGGGTTTACCTCCTGGGATTGGGCATGGGCTGCCCCCTGTAGAGGGCGGGTACATGTCTTGGACCTGGGGGGTATAGAGTGCGTATCGGGAATAAGAATGAAATGTATCGTTATTGTATGTCTTTGAGTGAGTGAGTGAGTGAGTGTGAGACTGAGGTTGGGATTGTGTGATTGTGTCTGTGTATGAATGGGTATTTGTTAGGTCGAGACTCAGACTGCCCCCTCTTTGATACAACTGGGGGTGCTTGGCATCACGCCCTTATCGCGCGGCCCCCTGGTGGGGTGTGCCCTTGCCTGCCGGCGTGCTTGGGGCCCTTGGTGTCGGGGGCTGGGCGCTTGGGCGTGTGTCGGCTCGGCCTGGTGTCTGCCTGGTGGGGCTCGGGTCCTCTGGCCCTGTCGGGCCTTGGCCTGGGTGGTGTGAGTCCTCGGTGCCGGGGCCTCGGTGCCCGGACCTGGACCTACATCGGTGCGGCGGGTTCCGACGGAGGCCTATGAGTTTGTCGCTGTTGGCCCCGGGGGGTCACTGTATGTGGTCGCTGGTGGGGATCTTCCGGTTCTCCCCTGTGGTCCGTTCTGGGGGGTGGGTGAGTGGTTCGTCCTGTGTGGGTGGCTCTGGGGGCTCCGCGGTCGGGGTCCCTCCTGGGGTCTTGGGCTCTGGTCCCCCCTTTTTCGTCTGCCTCTGGTCTTGGGGGTCGGGTCTCTGCTGCTTCACAGTTACTATTAAATGTTCTATTAGAGAAGCCTTATACACTTATGCATGCTCACAACCACACACAAATAGATGCAGGGATGCTTATGTAGGCTTTATATGTAGATATATAGATATGTATATGAATGTATATTCATGTGTATGTATGTATGTGTATAGGCGTAGGTATGGGTATATATATTTATGGAAACTTACTGCAAAGCCATGAATATTTTAAGTTCTTTATACATATGTATTTTGTTGCTGTGTTTTGTCATGTTCTTTGCAGGTGAACAGACAGTGGCCGGGTGTTTTGCCATGTGCTCTCTTTGTGTAGATTTCTTATATTTTGGAGTCTTACTTTGTCTTTTCTTTCTTTCTATCCTATTAAAAAAAATAAAAAAAAAAAAAAAAAAACTAAACTAGATAGTCACTAGAATAAATATTTCATAATAATGGTGTGGAGAGGATGGCTGTAAGGGGAGAAGGGAGGCCATCTATTAAAAAATATAAAATAAAATAAAATAAAAAAAATAAAAAAAAAACAGGGGTGGAGCCTCCGGGTTCAACTGTCCCCCTCTTACAATGCTGTGATTGCTAGTATCACTCAGCCCTTTGTGAGTTGTACACAGCCATCAGTGTGCTAATGATCCATTGTTAGGCTGATGGTCCTTCTTGAGCATGTGATCAGCTGGTTTTGGTTGTAAGCAGCAAACTGGTTGATCAACTCTGAGAAGGTGCTATTTAAGAGACTGAGCTGAATACAGCACCTCAGACTGAGGAAGTCTCTCGGATGAGAGACGAAACGTTTCTACCTTTTTTTGTTGATTTGCTTTGTTTTGTTTTTTTGAATGTCCAGAGGACCAGATTTAACTTTTTTAGATGTATAAATAAAGGTTGAATGAATGAATGAATATGAAAATCATGTTTTTAAATGTAAAAACAAGTGAAATTAAAGACCTATGCATTCATTGAATGAATGCCTAAGCCACTGCCTTTCTAGAGTGCCTTTTATTTGCTAGAGTTTTTACTCACTTGTGTAGAGAAATGAGCTAGCTATTTAGGTCAAACCTTGAAAATAACACTATGCTCAATCTCATGTGATAATGGGATATCTCACATGAGCTCTTAGTGCTTAAGAGGACATGTTGTGAATGACTGTCAGACACCAACACCCAATTTCAGCTCAAAATCTGTACATTTCACTGAGGTGTAGCTACTTTATGTAAGCTGTGGCAGCCTCCTTCAATTGAATTTACTCCAGTTAATCACTGTTAGAGCCATAAGTTAAACTGAAATCCTCTAGTGGTTTATGTGATATTCGTTAACAGACAAATAGCATCCATATCAGCAGCTCATACAAACGAACAGATATGGGCAAAAACAATCCTTCCTCCTTCAGTGACTGGCAAAGAATATCATGATTTTGAAATATTGTCAGTATATTTTAATGGTCACATAATTCTCAATGTGAAAAACACGGTAAGCTGCTGACTAAAACAACTAGTCCTCATTCTAATATTTTCTCACTCTTAAATGTTGTGAAGCAATCTTGACCTGATCTCTGTTCAAACAACAAGGGAAAGTCCCCGATCAGGGTAGAGCTCCCTCAGAGAACAATAATAATCTAGTCAGGATTGTTTCACTGAGCAAATTCACAAGCAACGTTGTTTGTGATGGTGGAGTCACTGCTCCAATAATAAAACTTTGAACAAGCCAAAATGACAGACCCTACCTTAAACTCCTGAGCAGGAATATACAAGTGCTTGTCATAAAATTAGAATATCATGAAAAAGTTGAT